ATAAAAAAAAAAAAAAAAAAAAAAAAAAAAAATCACATTGCTTATCAGAAAATTATGTTGATTATAATAACAGTATGAACAGTACATATAATTATAATATTTGTAATAATAATTATATTAATTATCATAATATTAATGCTAATAGTAATGTGTGTATTAACAACAATAAAAGTAATGATATTAGTAATAATAATTATGAGAATATTAATAATATTAATAATGAAGAATATGTAAATAATAATGATAATAATAATGACAATAATAAATATATTAATAACAAAGATATTAATGGTAGATATGACAGTAATAATAATTATAACATTTTTAATGAACCAAATAAGGTAGACAATATGTTTAGTCATAATAAAATTTATACAAATAATTGCCATTATTGGGATATTTACAATAAAACTAATAACAGAAAAAGTAATATAAATAAAAACATATATAATAGTTCTATAAATAGTTCAATAAGAGATGAAAATTCAAGAAGTGATGTTATAAGTGAAATAAGTAATGAAAATTATTTTTCAAAAGATGATATGACTGATTTAGCAATTGAAAATGAAAGAGAGAATGTTAATAAAGCAAACAGGGAGTGTATATTTCATTGTTGCAGCATTTTAAAAAAAAATAAAATAAAATTATATAATTTAATTAATGAAGATATTATAGATTCTGATATTTTTAAAGATACTTTATTTATTAAGTTTAAAAAAGAATTTTTAAAAAAAGAGAAAAAATATGTTACAATGGATGGAAAATATTCTTTTAGTAAATTTTCTAATCAGAAAAGTTCATTAAAAAAAAATATATCAAATGATTTTATTATGGAAAGAATAATCTTTATAAAAATTTTATTTTTTTTGTATAAAAATAGTATTATTTTATTAATTAAATTAAATATACTGAAAGTTTTATCTATACTATCTGATTATTTAATATTTGAAGAAGATATAGAAAATTTTTTAAGAATAATTAATTATTTTATTATAAATTTTTTGAGTAACAAAAAAATGTTAAATGAAAATGTTCCTTCTTATAACATTTATGATTATGAAAAAAATACGTTGTCCGAAACGAATAAAATTGAATGTGGAGATATTATTAATAATATCATTTATTTAAATACCAAAAAAAAAACAGAAGTAAACAAAAATAATTTTAATAAGTACCCATCTTATAATTCTGATTCTTCAAAAAGCGGAAGTATAATTATGTCATCAGATTCTTCTTTAAATAAAGACAAAAATTTTGATATTTATATAAATAATATATTTAATATTAAGTATAACATTATAAGCAATCAAAAGGAAATCTTGTATTATAATCAAAATACCTTAAGAAAATATATACGTATATATTTATTAGATGTAATAGATAAATTACTATATAAGAAAAATAACCTTATTTTAAATTCTCTTTTTCATTTATTTTATACTAATAACTTTATTCTCTTTTTTGATTTATTCCTTATTTCAAATAAAGAAAAGATAATTGAAGTTTTAAATGATCCTTTTTTTTATTTAATAAATAAAAAAAGTAATGATAAGAGTAATAATAATTTAAATGAAAACAATATTGATATTGATATTGATATTAATGCTAATAAAAAAGAGGAATGTAGTAAAATAATAAATTATAATATTAATAACAATCTTGATAATTTTTATTTAATAAAAAGGAGAAAATTTTTTCAGTTTTTTCAATTTGATCAAATTAGTTATAGAAATGTAAAACTTCTTTTTTATTTTTCTTTTTTTAATTTTGTTAAAGATAGAAATATTATGAATCAGTTCAGAAAAAAAGTTATAATTTTTTTGAACATTCTGAATAATATTTTTCATTTTAAAAGAAAAAAATATATACACTGTTTTTTAAAAAAAAAAAAGAGGAAGAATAAAAGATATGATAAAAAAAAAATTAAATATGTTGATAATCCAAATATAGTAACTAAAAATGAATACGATAATAAAAAAAAAGAAAAGGAAAATCAAATGGATAAAAATGAACTTTCATTACATTATTCTCATTTTTCACAAATTAATTCTTATAGCAATAATAATAATAACTTAATGGATAAAAAAAATAATACATTACCGTTTAATCAATTAGGTCATAATTATTTATATTCTAATTCTTCTTCCGATTATTCTACTTCATCAATATCAACATTATCTTTGTCACAATCATCTTCATCTAACTCTTTTAATGAATCAGTAGATTCATCGTATAGTGATTCTATTTCATCTATATCAAATAAATCAATAAAAAATAAATTAAAAAAAATTTACGAAAATTTACATAATGAAGAAAAAAATGTATATGAAAAAATTAAAATAAAAAATTTAAGAAAAGATGATAACTCTTATTTTTATATATATAAAGTTGGGTTATTTTGTATTACTTCAGGCTTTTATAAGTATTCCTATAAAATATTTGAGAAATTATACTACCTAATAACAAATAGAGACATAAAATTGTGGTGCAAATGTTTATTAAATTACTCTAATTTTTATAATGTAAAAAAACAAAAAAATAATAATAAAAAATATTATAATCCTATAAATTTTTTAAATATGTCTGAGCAGTGTATAAAACAAATGTTTAATTATAAAGATAATTTTTTTCATATGTTAATATTTTTAGAGATAAAAGTCAACTTATATAAAGCAATCGAAAATTTGATAATTCTTATAAATGATATCAAAAATGAAATAAATTTTACCATTAAATATTTTTCCTATAATATTGAAAAATTTATTTCATCATTAAAAAATATAATGATAGCTATATTAATATTTTTAAATTTTAAGTATATATTTTCTTCTATATCAAAAAAAATATTAATCATATATATTATTTTAATTAAATCTTTGTTTATATTATGTAACTTTTTGAAAAATAAAGTTATTCCATATTTATTTTTAAATTCTTCCTTTTTAGTAAACATTTTTGTTGATGAATATTCCGATGAAGAGAATGAAAATGATTTATCAGATGGGTTAGATCAAGGAATTTCTAATTTTATAAGATTTTATCTTCAAAAGAAAAAAGAAAAAAAATTAAGAAAAACTATTTTTACAAAGGAATTAAAAAACACAGAAGGAAAATTATTTAATGAAATTTTTGATTACATAATAACAATGTTGAAAATAAATACAGAGGATTTTTTTTTTTATGATTATATAGAAAATTTAATTGAAATTTATCATAATTTATTTAAAGACAATATTATAAATAAGAAAAAAATTATAAATTATATATATATTTATTTATTAGTCATATATAAAATTAATTATCCAACTCCCCCTCGTGTTTTATCATCAGCACCTATTCCATTTGTATCCAGCTCTACTTACATATATAAATCAGTAATTTTATTTTTTTTTTATATTTTAAAAAAACACAATTTTTTTTGAGTGTGTTTCATTTTAAATTTTTTTAATATTTTTAATTTAAAAATTCTTTTGTAGAATAGAGGAAAAGGATTCTATGAAGTAGAATCAGTAAAATGCATAGGAGAGTTAAAAAATGCAAAGGTAAAAAAAAAAAAAAAAAAAAAAAAAAAAAATACAATAAAATATTTCATAAGTAATAATAGAATTACATATAAAATATGTATGTATATTTTTTTTTTTTTAAGAAACAAGTAATAAAAGATTTTTATTATTGTAATATAAAATTAATTTTTAAAAATAAAATCATGAGAGACATAAATGTAAGAAGTCAAGGAATTCATGTTTTATATACTTTTCATATAAAAATAGAAAATGATGACTTGAAATATTTTAATATTTTTTTAATACCACTTGATAAGTATAAGAAGTTACTTGGACAAGCGAAGCCAACCTCTTTTTTTTTTAAATATATTTAAAAGTAGTAAATATATTTTTAAAATTAATATATAAAAATATGTATGTTTATATTTAAATTAAGTGCATCTTTTTCACATTTATTTTAAAGAATTCTAAAGAAATATCATAACATAAATAGTTTTTAATTGTTTTTTTATTGTTTTTTTTTTTATAATTATATTGATTTTTGTCCAATAAATTTTACTCTAATGTATTCCTTTATAATATTTACATGCATTTTTATATTAATATTTTTATGTGTGTAAAAAAAAATTTACCAGATATATATATCGTTGTAATTTTTTTTTTTTTTTAATTTTAATTTTTATTATTATACAATAATTATTGATTATAAAAATTATTTTTAAATTAAATTTTTATATCAGACTTTTATTTGAATATATATATATATTTATTTTGTTATTATGTGAATTTATTTGTTATATTTTGTATTTCATTTTTATAACTTTTAATGTAACATCAGTTATGGAAAAAGAGTTATAAAAAAAAAAAAATTTTATATACATAATTAATTATTTTTTCAAATATTCCTAAAAATATTATTATGTTTAAAATTATTAAGAGAATTTTGAAAGTACATTTATTATTTTTTAATAGAAATTTTTTTAAAATTACAGAAAAAAAAAAAAAATAATAAAATAATGGAAAATTAGTAAAAAATATAATAGAAATATGAAATAAATAAAAAAAAAAGAAAATTTAAATTTAAATAGTTGATTTAATTAGAAATAAGGAAAAGGAAAAGAAAAAGATGAATAACCTATTTTATACTGCCAAATGATATATATATATATATATATTTAGTGTGTATTTTTAGTATGTGTATTTAATATACATGTTTTATATGAGTATTCAATGTAAACATTTATAAAAAAAAAAAAAAAAGAAAAATAATATACATATATATGTATAAGGTAATTATGAAAAAAATTAAAGAAGGAGAAAATATTGAGTTAATATATTCATTACCTAATGAAAATATACAAGACTTAATTGTAAATAAGGAAAATATAGAAATTAATAAGTTAATTATTATAAAGCATTATAATAAGAAAGAATATTATATAAAAGAAATAAAATATGAGGAATTTAACAAAAAATCTAGTTTTTTAGTTATTTTTATATGTGCTGAAAATACCGCGAATAGCTGCATAAATGTTATAGATAAGGAAGTTACAAAAAATGAAAATGATAGTAATCCATTTATTAAAAATAAAAATGAAATAAAAAAGATGGAAAATATAAAGAGTGACATACAAAATTTTTACTCCTATAATAAATATGAATATAAAAATTCAAGGAATAAAGTATCTCTCCCAACGTGTAGTTCATCAAGTATTTTATATTTTTTAAAAAGATTAAATAAAAAAAATTCAAAAAAAATAGTAGACAAAAATGTCTATTCACTTAAAGAAGATATAGAAAATTACTTTAAAAATGCATATGCTAAATACATATATAAAAATAAATATATATATTTTTTTATTTTTAATAGTGAAAATACGCATTATATAGATAGAAATTTAAGTATTAAAAAGTATTTATTGTTTAAAAGTCAAATAGATAAAAATTGCAAAATAACTACTTGTTATAAAAATAATATAAATAATAACTTAAGATCATTTTTTCATATAATTAAAAAAATATATAAAGTCAAGAAAAATAGCTATTCTAATAAGGATGTAAAGGAAAGAAAAGAAAAATCACTAGAATTAGCCAATTCTAGTAAAGAAAAAAAGAAAAAGTTTTCTGAACCAATTTTTACAGAAAAATTCATATTAAATAATAATAATAAATTTATGTGGAGATATGGTATAAAAAAAAAAAAAGACAATTTTCCTTATAATAAAAAAAATACAAAGTATTATAATTTTAACTATAACAGAAGTTTTATTACTTATTATAATTCATCTTCTAATAATAAAGGAAAATATGATTGTAGAAACAAAACGTTTCCGTACTTTTATATTAGTGAAAAAAATAATATAAAAAAATTTTTTGAAGCTAGTAAATTAGCTTATTTTAAAGATTATAATTTTTATAAATATCATAAATATAACTTCATAAAAGAAAAGAAAAAAAATTACAATGATTTGAGTAATAATATAAAAGACGAAAAGAAAAAAATTTATTGTAAAAAAGATGAAATGAATGAAAAGGAAAATCTAATTTTTAAGTTAAATTTTCTAAACCGAACTAAGAACACAGCTGTGTTAAGAAGTTATCCTACAAAAAAAAAAATAAATAAAATTAATGGAACTTTTTTAAAAAAAGAAAATAAAAACAACAACAATTGTCCTGTTGAAAAGTTTAGTAATTTGTGTAACTTAAATAAAAATTTATGTAAAAAAAAATCCTTCCCTTTTTCTACGCATAATATCTATATGCATAAAAATTATTTTAATTCATCCTATTTTTCCACTCAAAGAAATTTTAGCTCTAATTTATATAAAAAAAAAAAAAATTTTATTTATGAAAAAAAGAATGAAAATCTTGAAAGAAAAAATAATTTGAAAGAATATGTAACTAAAATGTACCCTAAAGAAGGGTTAACATCTTACTGTGGTAAATATAAAAGAAAAACTAATAACAAAAAATTTGAGAAATATATATATAGTAAAAAAAATATAAGGAATTTAAATAAAAAATACTGTAATAGCTTCAGTAAGAGAAAGGATAATTTTTTTGATAGTAACAATTTTGAAAAACATCCTAAATTTCAAATAATTAAAAATAAAGATAATAAAAAATATTTCTGCACAAATGAAGCAAGGAATATTACGTTTCAATCAAAGAGAAAATCTTACTTTGATATATATAACAATGAGAATAGAAATTTTTTAATAAAAAAAAAAAATTTTGTTTATGATAATTATTGCGCGAAATTGCCGAATATATACCATTACAATTTAAAAAAAAAAAACAAATATTTTTCTTTACATAATTTAAGAAACTTCTTAGTTGAACGGAGTTATTCTAATATGAAAAAATATAATTCCAATAAGGTAAATTTAACAAAAAGTTATCAAATAAAATTAAATAAAAATAAAACATTTAATAAAAAGGATTACAACTCAATGAATAATATGAACAATATAGATAAAAATAATAAGTGTTCTATAAGTGAATTGAAAGCATTTAAAACAGAAAAATCTCAAAATTGTTTTAAAGATGTTTCTTCTTTTTGTTCTTCATTAGAATACAATTCGCTTGATATTAATGATAAAAAGGATTTTAAAAATGACATGAATTTTTCTTTAAACTTAAAAAATATAAAAAATAAAGCAGATTTTGAAGTAAGTTTAGAAAAATTAAATACTTTAAAAAACAAAAAATTCAAAGCTAATGATACAAACACGAGAAAAGAAAAATTAGAATTTGTTGGAAATCAATGTGATAAAATTTTTCAAGATAGGATATTCATTAGTGGATATGAATTTGCTTCTAATAAGTTAAACATTGAAGAAAAAGGAATTACTCATATCATTAATACTGCTGGATATGAATGTGAAAATAAATACGAAAATCTGTTTTTTTATAGAACATATTATTTGAAAGATGATATGTATGATGATATTTTTTATACCTTATTAGATTCTTTACGTTTTATTAAAAATGTTTTAAAAGAGAATGAACGAAATAAAATTCTTATACATTGCAGTAAAGGAATATCAAGATCTGTTATTATTATAATTTTTTTTCTTATGAGTGAATTAAATTTAAATTATTTTGATGCATTTCAAATTGTGAAAAATAGTAGAGCATTATCAAATCCCAATATGAATTATATTACTCAATTGTTAAACATATTTAATATAAAAAAAACTGTACAAAACATAGATAGAAGGAAAGAAAATAAAATAATTAAGGATAAAATAGTGAATGAAAATATAATAAATAAAAATAATGAATTAATATCAAATGATGTTCGAATAGATAAGGAAGAAAATATGGAAAATTATAAAAATTGCAATGATATTATTTGTCTTTTTAGAATAGATTTAGAGGGAAAATACCTCACCTTAAAAAAATTAGATAATTTAATTTATCATGATAGTGATAATGATTCTGCTGTTTTAATTGATAAAAGATTTAATTACATAATCACTTATAATTTTAAAGATTACTATTTAATGCTATTTGATGACACTTATGAATCTATATTTCATTCAATATTTAATCATTTTATTCTTATTTCTAGCTATTTTTTTGGTGATATGAACAAAAAATATGTTATTAGATCTAATTTTATGAATATTTTTAAAAATTTTAAAATTAAAACTAAAATTATAAATAGTATTACTGATTTTGATAAATATTTCTTAAATATCCAAAGTTTTCTTAAAATGTCATAAATTTACTTTTAATAAATTAAAAGTTAATTCTCTTTTTTTTTTTTTTTTGTTTTTCTCATTCTTTTTTCAAAATATGTGGCTTTATATACATATTATAATTTAAGTTAAGATGAGATAATATAATGTATAATTTTTTTTATTAATGAACAATATATTTATATTAAAAATATAAAACATATTTTATTTGCATATTTATTTGTTTCTTTGTTTATTACCTATTTGTTTTCATTTTTTTTTTTTTTTTTTTTTATAAATTATAAGATATATTCAAACAAACATTAAGACAAGATTAAAATTGTATTAATAATTGAGAATACCTTTTATTATCAATTATTTCTTTTTGTCTATGTAAATTTATTACATTTTTTTAAGATTTAGGTAATAAATTTTACTTCAAAAAAAAAAAAAAAAATATATTATTTATAATTAATTAAAAATGAATTAAAAATAGTTATATATTTTATGAATAGAAAAAAATAAAAAGAATGGATAATAAAAAAATTAAATATATGTATATATATGTATATATATTATATATACTCTTTTGAATAAATCCTTTACAATAAGATTTTTCTATTATTAACGAAAAAAAAAAAAAAAAAAAAGGTTAATTAAAAAAAAAAAAAAAAAAAAAAAAAAAAAAAAAAAAAAAAAAAAATTGACAAAAAAAACATTTTCAAATATTAAAAAAAAAAAAAAAAAAAAAATGATAAAATTAGTAATAAATAAAATATACCTCAAAAGAAATATAAAAATTGGAAGAATAATAAATAAAAATTATATTAAAAAATAAAATTGATATATATATATACTGTCTTAGGTTAATATTATTTTTATACATTTGATTCCATATGAATACAGAGCAAATGTAGAATTTTGGGATATAATAACATTATATCATGTGTAAAATATATATTAGTATTTTCTTATCTTCTTTATTTTTATATTTTACATGCAGAAAAGGAAAAGAATTATGTTTTGAATTATATTTTTGTTTAATCATTTTCGCTTAAAATTTTTTTTATATTAAAAGGTCTAAAAGGAATTCCATCTCCTTTGTAAAATTTATTTTGAAATTCTACCCATTGCAATCTTAATGAATGTAAAAAACATTCCAAAGTATCCATACACAATATAATAAGAATAGTTAATATAGAAAAAAGTTGAACAAATATTATTAAGCTAATTAAAACAGTTATAAATTTGTCTTGTTTTAATGAATTTAATATTGTTTGTTCAAAAAAAACATATGACAATTGTTGATGAGCTAAGGATAATGCCCATAATCTTAAATAAGAAGCTGTATTACTAATAAGACCTAAAACAAATTCAATAGTTTCTATAAGTTGTTCTATCCATATCTCTGATATATTTTCTTCATGGCACACATTTTCTGATATGTGATCTGGTGATGAACTTAATAAATGTGCCTCCATTTCATGATCTGTTTTTTTATTTTTTTTCTTGAATAAATAATCATTTTCATTATCTTCATATGGATGATTTCCAATTCTTTTATGCATAGATAAAGATTCTATATGGTTACTATTTTTATAATTATGATTAAATGTATTTGTCATTTCTTTTTCTAAATTTTCATTATATCTACTTAAATTTTTTTTTTTATCTTTCATTATTTTATAAGTTCTTATTGCTGGTTTACAAATAAGCATAACTGGAATAGATATAATAAAAAGACTAAGGAGTAATGTTTCAATAATACTTTGATGGGAATAAAATTGATTAGTTTTATCAATATCTTTATGTAAATACATATTTATAATAGTATTAATTATCCCTTGTTTTTCATATCCTCCATATCCTGCTGGGGTTACCCATTTATAAATAATCAAAAAAACTAGATAACCAATAATACATATCATCATAACTAATTGAGGTATGAATTCAAAAAAAAAATCTAATTTTTTGTTAAAATATAGCGTATTGAATCCTTTTATAATTGTTCCAAATGTCATATGTAAAAATCCAATTATGACTGAAAATTTCATTTTAAATGAATTTATAAAAATTAATTCATTTTCTGCACCTAACCAATTAGAATCAAATCCAAATATATATGGATGTCTAAATTCTGTTTTTCCATCTTTTGTTACTATTTCTTTTCTTTTGTAATATTTTATATTATCTATTTCATTATTTTTCTCAAACATAGAAGAAAATAAATTCAAAGGCATTGAAAAAAAATCATTATACAAAAATCCAGCATATACAGAGAAAAATCCCATCAATAATAACATATACCTTCCATCAAAAAACATAGCAATCATTTCATTTTTTTTTTTATTCTTTACTTTATTATGAATCAAAATCATAAATATAGCAAATAAAAATATACAAAAGCCATGACCTACATCTCCATACATAATACCAAATAAAAATGGAAATGTTATAATAGTAGAAATGGCTGGATTTATTTCTCCATATCTTGGAACACCATATGTATCTATAATAACTTGATATGATTTAGTAAATTCATTTGTTTTAATATAGGTAGGAGGTGATATGTTTGGTGTTAATACTTTATCTGATAATAGTAATGCTGAAACTAGATCATTAGATGACTTATTAATTAATATATGTCTAATTTTTTCTTCATCACTTGCACTATACCAACAATCACATCGTAATGTAATATCACTTCCTTCAAAATAATTTAAATTATTATAAATGTGTCTTTCTTTTTTACAAAATAATTTCCATTCTTCTATAAGACTATTCTTATTTGGTTCTACTACATTAATTAATACAAAAATCTCATTTATAAAATATTCTTCATATGCTTTTAATGCTTTATCTTTATCATTTATAATTTCTTTTAATTCTCTTAATCTTTTCTTAGATTGTTCATAAGTTTTAGGCCAATCATATGTTTTAACATCATATGCTTTGCATATTTTCATAATTTTTTCATAAATACTACTTTGTGCTGAACCTTGACAGTACACAACAAAAACACTTTTTAATTCATTTTTTTTTTTTTTATTATTTTTTTCATTTTCTTTATTAAGTAAAGGAGAATTAAGAGATTCATTTTCATTTATACTTACACTTTCTTCCATTTCATCATCAATATTTTGAAAATATGTATATGCATTTCCTCTTAATGCTCTAAATATAGTTCTACTAAAACTTTCTTGATCTTTTGTTTTAATTACTCCTGATATATTTGTAAACATCATATTAATGCCATCTTTCATTATATGAGTTGATAAAGAAATATTTTCTTCATTACTATCATCAACATTAATAGAATTTTCATGTATATTCATATTTATATTTCCATTTTTAGATGTATCAGGTTTTAATTGATTAATAGCTGCTAAAATTACATGTTTTTCTTCAATAGCATTATTTCTTTCATCCACTAAATCTTTGTTATTATTGCAAAAACGAACGAACTGAACATATAGTCTATTTAAGGATTCTTCAACTTGATCTAATTCATATATATTATCATGTTCTAAAAAGTTATCTATTTTGCTTTTTTTTATTTTTACATTAGGTAACTTATTTATATTTTCTTCTAAAAATCTTAATATCCTTTCCATATCATCAATACGCTGTATGTATTTTTTATATTGTCTTTTCATAGTTTTTTCATTCATATCAACAAATTGTATATCTACTTCTTTTCCTAAGCAATCTAAATATTCTCTTGCTCTATCAGATGGTAAAACAAGAGTTCCATGTTTCATTGTCTAAAAAGAAAAATATTTTTTAAAAAAAGATACATTTATGCTTTTTTTTTTTTTTTTTTTTATAAAATTTCTTCATATCTATAATAGATACATTTTATAAAAATAAAGATATAAATAATTTTTAATTTTATGTTAAAAAAATTCTTATAATTTGGTAAGACAAAAAAAAAAAAAATTTATATAAAAATAAAGCATTTAAAACTATGTTATTTTTTAATTAAAATTATATTATATATAATTTTCTACTATTAATAAATGAAAATATAATATTATTCTATTTTAAATGGGTTATGAAAAGAATAATTTGTATTCTGTAATTAAATACAATTATATTTTTTTTTTTTTTTAAGCTTACTTCTGATCGAAATATTCCCATTTTTCCTTAATTGAAAAACAGATTTGTAAATTTAAACCTTGTGAATAAAATCATGCAAAAATTTTACAAAATCATAAAAGAAATTAATTATTCATTTATTATTTAAGTTTAAAAATATATTTTATTTTATTTCTAAAACTTTATTCTAATAAAAGATCTTGGTACTCGTCTTGATATCATTTATAATAAAAAAAAATAAATTTATAATTTTCAAAAGATTCTGTGAATATATCCTTATAATAACAACTTAAAAAAATGAAAAAATATATTAATTTTCTTAAAGAAAATTCCTATAAAAATGTTTATTTTATTCCTATTTTTATCAATATATTATCAGCATTTAATAATAAAAATTAACAAACTTGCAACTGAGTATTTAAAAAAATACCATAAAAAATATTTTGATAGTTCCAAATAAAAAAAAAAAAAAAAAAATTAAGATATTGGCTAAACTTTAAATTTATAAACTTTTCGTTTCAATTTAATTTTTTTTTTTTTTTTAAATCTAAAATATATAAAATAAAAAAAAATAATATAGTATGAATTAATTTTAAAAAGAAAATTATAACTTCAAAAATATATATATTTCGTTTTTTTTTTTTTTTTTTTTTTTTTTTTTATTCTTTATTATTAAAACATTATTTTTTTTTTAATATACGTATGTATATAATGTATAAATATATTATATAAATTTAGTGAATATAGATTTTTTATGTGAACATAAAATTTCTTCTCTATGTTCAACTCATTTATCTACATGCATTTCTGTGCTTTCATTATTTTTTATATAAATACATCTGAATTAATTTTTATGGTTAAAAGCATAAATATGCTTTATATTTTTGAATTTTTATTCTCTATTTAAAATTTGATGTAAAAAAAAAGTATTGGCTAGCTCAGTTTTTTTTTTTTTTTTTTTTTTTATTGCTTTTTTACTTTCCCACTTTTGCATTATTTTTTTTACTTTTTCTTCATTTTATTTTTTTTGTTTTTGTTTTCATTTTTGTTTTTCTTTTTTTTTAAGTTTCATAAGTTTTTTTTTATCTTTTTTTCTTTTTTTTTTTTTCCCTTTTTTCTATTCTTTTTCCTTTTCTCTTATTTCTTTTCTTTTTTTTTACCTTTTCAGTTTTTAATAAATGCTTAAATGAATTCCTTACAAATATAATATATTGATACAATTAAATAAGCAATTGAAAGTTTAAATATATGGAATACTAAACAGAAAATATATTTTATAAAAAAAACTGTATACATTTAAAAAATATATTCTTAAAAGGATTAATCAAATTATATTAAAAATAAAGAAACAAATCCACTTTTCAATGTGCAATATGTTATTGCACATTGCAAAGGGAAAATTGTATAATGAAAAAGAAAATAATAAAAAGCAAAAAAAAAATTAAATGTACAAAACAAAAAAAAAAAAAAATAAAAAATAAAATTAAAAGAGAATTAAATTTACAAAAAAGAAATAACAAAAAAAAAAAAAATAAAAATAAAATAAAATAAAATAAAAAGAAGGAAAAAAGGAAGGAAAGATGAAAAAAAAAATTTGAAAGAATAGTATTAAAAAAATGAAATAAAGAACAAGAACTATAAAAAAAAAAAAAAGAAAGCAGTTATTGATTGATATTAATTTTATATTTAATTAAACAAAAATTTTTAAAAAATTATTTTTAAAGATAAAAATATTACCTAACTACTTTAGGGAATATATTAAACACCTACTATCATATTTATTAAAAATACGTAGTTAATTAAAATATTAAAATTATTTTCATTTAATAGCTCAATATTTTTTCCTTTTATTGTTGATCTGCCTAATGTTTTATCATATATATTCTTTCCTTTTTAAATTATCTATTTAATTTATAATCATAAGGGTGTAATATTTCTTTTAATGAACATTGTTTAAAATAAAATATTTTTTATAAATTATATATTTTAATGTGATATATATCTCTTTATTTTAATGAATTTTTCTTTTAAAATATAACTAATAATTTTTTTAGCATAATAATTTAAAAATTAATATGCATATATCACTTAAAGATCTTTTAAATGTGAAGTATCAACATTATCGGGAAAGAATTTAATATTTTCACTTTGCTTGTTTAAAAACTGATTGTGAATAGGATTCATTTTTTTACATGTATTTAATAGTAACTCCATATGGGGTATATATTTTTTCATTTTTTCATTATCTTCTGCATATTCTAATGCATCCAATAAATATAATTCAAATTCTTCTAATTCGTCAATACTTTTAATGATTGATTTAATTAGTGGTTCCCTATTTTCGTTCATGTCTAATGTGGTTGATAAAAATAGTATTCGTGTAAAATTAAAAGTACCTTTTTTATTTAGCTTTTCTTGGGCAATAATTCTATCTTTTAAGGTTCTTAATATTTTTTCTGATATGCTCATTTCTTCTCCGCTATTTAATTTATCATTCTTTACAAGTTTTGAATGAGCTTCTATTATTTTGTCATCAATGAACGTTAAAACATAAACATCAATTAATTTTTTCTTAAACATTTCCATAATTATTTGATCTACGTTATCACCTGTTATTAAACGAGATATAAGATATTCAACTTTTTCTTTTGCTTTCTTTTTACGTAAATTAACTATATAAGGATTTAAAAAATTTTGCATTTTTATTATATGGTTTTGCTTTTCTTTTTCATTATATTTTTTATACAAATGAATTTTATGATTTATAATTTCTTCATATACATCATTTTCACTAAGAACATCTAAATATTTTTTAACATTATCATAATCAAAAACTTTCATTTTTTCTATTTCTTCAATCATTTTTTGTTTCTTATCAACTTCTAAAAATAATTCTTTATCTTTCATAAAATGTCCCGTTACTTTATCTACACTTCTTTCCATAACATTTAATTTATTATTTCTTTTACATCTAAGAAAATTAGAGTGAGTTATGCTAACATTGTTTCTTAATTTATTATATTTAAATACAATAACATAACCCATAGAATGTTCTCTATGCAAATTAAAAGTAAAACTATTTTTTAATAAAATTATTAAAATAAGGAATGTAATAATATTTTTTCTATATATTATATTTTCCATACTAAAAACAATTATGAAGATTAAAAAAAAAAAAAAGTAAAAATTATTTTTTGATAAATAAAATTAATATTGTAGTACCTGAAAAAAAAATTATTACCTCTTGAAACAATTAAATAATATTTTAAATTCAATTATAATATTTTATATCTCCTGATTATGATTTATTATAAAACAAAAAAATAATTAAGATATTTCATACTGCATATAATTTATTATAAAATAAAAAATAAATAAACCAATATGTAATTATCTTATATATATATTTTAAAAGTTAGTAAACAAATTTTTTCTTTTTTAATTTTTTTAAAGAAATCTAAAAATTAAGTGTATATGTATATTTAGCAAAAAATTAAATATTTTTAAAACATTTTTTTATTTTTTATAAAAAAAAAATTGGAATAATATAAGATTAAAAAAATACATACACATATAAATAATAAGATATATTATTTTATAATTTTTTTTTAATAATTATCATTTTATTAATTTACAACTTACGCCATGACAAGAATATTGATAATAACAAATCATTAAGAAGTTACAAAAAAAAAAAAAAAATAAAATAAATATAAATATAAATATATATATTATAAAAAGTAATATAAAAATAAATATATAAGCTAAATTTATTTTAAAAACAAAAAAAAATTGTATTTATAAATATGTATTTTCATTTATAACATCATAATTTTTTCTTTTTTTTTTTTAGTGGAAAGTCGTATGCAAAATGTAAAGTTAGTAAAACCTTTGGTGATTGGAACATATTCCTTTTTACTGTCTCAACAGGTGAATTTTCTTTTAAAATGATATACATGGAAATTTTTAATATTTATTTATTATTTTTTTTTTTTTTCCTTGTTTATTAAATATATGAATAATTTAAATATTAGGAGAAGAGGAAATATGGAAATATGACTCACAAATGGACATGTTTATTAAGATGTCCTAATTCGTCTGACATTTCTTTATTTATAAATAAAGTGGTTTTTGAATTAGATCCATCTTTTATTTACCCCAAAAGAGGTTTTTAATTTTTTAATTTTATTTAAATTTTTATATTATAATTAATATTTATTTATTTTTTTTTTTTATTTTTTTCTCATAAGTTTATACACAACCACCATATGAAGTGAATGAAATAGGATGGGGTGAGTTTTATTTACAAGTAAAAATTTATTTTGCTGATTCTACCTTACCACCTGTTAATATTATGCATTTTGTTAAGGTATTTTTATTTTCATTTATATATATATATATTAACATACATAAATATATTCATATTTATTTTTTTTTTTTAATAGCTAAACACTGATTCAGATTCTACACATTGTCCGTGTGTGGTAAACGAGGTAATTGTGTTTAAAAAAAAAAAAAAAAAAAAAAAAAAAAAAGCATTTTATATTAAAAGATAAGTATATATTTAAAATTAATTTTTTTTTAGACATATGAAGAAATAATTTTTAAAAACCCAACTATTGGTTTGTATAATAAAATTTTACAAAGCAATAGTACAAAAGTTGCTCCTCATAAATTTCAAGAATATTGTAAAAAAAATATATAAAAAAAAAAAAAAAAAAAAGAATTAAAAAAGGAAACATTATATGTTTATGAATCTTTATCATTTGATTTCTTTGATTTTTTATTAGTCATAAAATATGATTTTAAAGAAGAAAATTTTACAAAAACTTACCTTCAATTTCAATCGAAAGTACAAGAAGAAATTTGTGACTTAATGTCTGAAGCAACTTTATTATCAAAAGATGTAACAAAAAAAAAAAAAAAAAAAAAAAAAATTAAAAAATATATATATCTTAAAATAAATTATTTTAATTACAAAAAATTATTTTTTCTTAAATTGATATTATATCTTTTTTTTTTTTTTTTTTTTATAGATTAATGAAGCACAGCAAAAATATTTTGCAAGTATATATTTTTTTTTAATATATTAAAATTAATAATTAATACATTATTAGAACCTTACAAATATTCATATTTGTAATTATTATTTTATTTATTCATTTTTTTTTTTTTTTTTTTTTTTTATTATAGTGAAAACAGAAATGGGTGTAAGCAGTGATGACAATTAAAAAAAAAAAAAAAAAATATCCTTTCTTTTTTTACTTTTTACTTCTACTTTATAGTATTTATTAATATTTTGAATCACAAGTTTTGTTTTAAATTTTAATATGATATTTTTCGTTTTTAATTAATAATTTTTTATGAATAGCTTTTTTGTGGATACTTATTTTTTTTTAAATGAACATTATTTAGTATATATAATATTATTCTTTGAATGTATTTACATTATCAAATATTTTATTTTATTCTTTTTTGATTTCCTTTTCATATAATAAAAACTTTGACATTTAACTCCATATATATCTTCCTTTTTTTGTTTTTAAAAATTTTCAAGTAACTTCAAATGATTTTGTAAAAAAATACTTTTTAGTAAATTTACATTTTCATTAGTATTTAAGTTCAGATATATTTGAGATGATAATAGATTATTAATTTTTTTAACTATTTCTAATTCATTGTTTTCACATTGTACTTTTTCACATTGCTCACAAAAATTAATTAAAAAATTTTTTTCTCTTAAGTTCAATCTCAAGGAATCAAAAATTGATTCTAATGTTAAAGTATTAAATTTCATGTCTTCCTTTTTTTCTAAAATATTATAATCTATATCGTTACTCGAGGAACTACTATAATGATAATCAAATGTTTTGTATAAACTATTTTTATTTACAAAAAAGAAAGGAAAAATGTGTTTTCTTTTATCTTCTTTTTCTTCATTAAAACAAATTTTATCATCTGTTTCATACCCATTTCTTTTTTCTTGTAAGTTTTTTTTTTTTGTTTTTTTACATAAGAAGCTATCTGACATACACTGTTTCCAGTTATTTTTTTTGTTAATTGAAAAATAATTATTATGATATTTTTCCTTGCATATTCTCTTATTAATATAATTTTGCTTAAATATTAAAAGATGATTAAATTCTTGTTTAAAAGGGTATTTAAAATATTTAAAAAAAAAAATAAAGGAGTAAAAAAGCTTTAAAACTATATAATTATTTGAATTACAAAAAAAAAACATACAGTAGTTAGATTTATAATATCTTTTTTTTTCTCTTTTTAAATTGTTCAAAAGATAAGAATTCCAATATATTTTTATTTTTTTAAAAAAAGTAAAACAAATAATTAAATTAGATTTATATTCAATTATGTTAATATTTTCAAAAAAATTTATGTTGTCATTCGGTATTGAAAAAAAATAATTTTTTTCATTTTTTACAATTTTTATTTTTGTTACTAACTTTTTGAAATATATTTTTAAATATATATTACTTTTATTATTATTATTATCATTTTCGCTAAGTTTTATATGGTTACCATAAAAACCTTTAATATTTAATTTTAATATTTTACTTTTTTTATTATTTTTTTTATATTCACATATTTTTTTTATATCTTCTTCTCCTTCATATTGTTCAAAACTATTTAAATTGTATATATTCGTGTTATATAAAAAATTTTTATTTTTGTAATACTCATTTGAATTTATATCTTGATTATTCTTTTTAAAATTATCATTTTCATTGTATTCATTTAAGTCACTATTATTTTTATTATAGCTATTATTGTTTTTATTGTCTACATTATCTTCCTCATTGATATATTTTATAGATTTATTGGAATATGTATGATTATTGTTTATGTTAAAATTTTGATTTTCGTTTTCTTTTTTTCTCAAAGAATTACATATATAATAAAAATCATAAACTTCTAATTTCAATTGATATTTAAAATAATATAAATAATTATAATCAGAATAATTACATAAACTTATGCATAATCCCTTCTTACCATATCTACCACATCTACCTGATCTGTGAATATAAGTTTCTTTACTTTGTGGTATATCAAAATTTATAACTAAATCACAAATTATGTTGTCTATACCTCTACTCATAACATCAGTACATACTACAATCTTTATTTTATTATTTTGAAAATTTTTAAAATGTTCTATTCTTTCATTATGTTCAACTTTTGAGCTTGTATAATATGAAGATACATTAAACTTATTTAACATCTTCGTAATTTGTATACCCTCATATGTGTTATTTATAAATAAAAAACATTGATTAAATTTTATTTCTTTAATTATCTTTAGTAATACTTTCATTTTATATTTTAACTCTTCTTTTTTGTTTAAGTTTTCGTTATTTATTGTTATAAAACAATGCTTAATATTTAGCAAAACAGGTGAATCTAATTTTTCATCTAAATAAGGGATTTCTTTTTCTAATTTCATTTTTTCCTTTTCTAATTTCATTTTTTCTTTTTCTAATTTTATTTTTTCTTTTTCTAAGTTGATTTCATCAAATATATTATCTTTATCTTCAAACGAATTTTTTTCTTGAATATTGTTTTTTATTTCATTAATATGATCATTTATTTTATTTTTTTTATTTTCTTTCTCGTGGATAATTAAAGATGTGCACGTCTGAATAAATTCAAAATCTCTCTGTTTACTAATGTAACTTGGAATTTTTTCTTTTTCTTTTATCATTTTTCTTATAATATATTGAAGTATATCCTTTTTACAAAATAGACTTTTGTCTTGTATCATTTCTTCTACTTCTCTTAAATTATTTGAAATTTTTTTATTTTTATTTTTATACTTTTTTTTCTTTCTTTTTTTTTTTCTAATTTTTTTGTTACTTAATCCCAAATTTTGTTGTTTAATATCCCCATTTTTGTTATTTTTATCATGTTTTATATGAATGACATTATTTTTGTTTGCATATGTATTTTCTTTATTATATTCACCACAAATATTACTATTAATCATTGCTTTATTTTCATAACTAATTATATTATCAATTTTATTTTCTATATTATTTTCATAACTAATTATATTATCAATTTTATTTTCTATATTATTTTCTATATTATTTTCTAAATTATTTTCTATATTATTTTCATAACTAATTATATTATCAATTTTATTTTCTATATTATTTTCATAACTAATTATATTATCAATTTTATTTTCTATATTATTTTCTATATTATTTTCTATATTATTTTCTATATTATTTTCTAAATTATTTTCTATATTATTTTCATAACTAATTATATTATCAATTTTATTTTCTATATTATTTTCATAACTAATTATATTATCAATTTTATTTTCTATATTATTTTCTATATTATTTTCTAATTATTTTCTATATTATTTTCTATATTATTTTCTATATTATTTTCTATATTATTTTCTAAATTATTTTCTATATTATTTTCATAACTAATTATATTATCAATTTTATTTTCTATATTATTTTCTAAATTATTTTCTATATTATTTTCTATATTTTCTATATTATTTTCTAACAGTTTATTATTGTCATCTTGATAAAGATCATTTTTAAGTCTATATTCATTAATCGAGTTTTCTTTTTTTAAAAAATAACTTAGTTCTGTTAAATTAATACTTCTTAACTTTGATAAATAATTGTGATCATAACATTTTACATTTTTTATAAAGGATGTTATAACAGAATCAAGAAAGGTAGAACTATAACAAAGAATCTGAATTTTTGATGTTATTAAATGATTAAAAATAATTTTCATTTGTTCATTAAATTGTTCATCTAAAAGTGCATCTATTTCATCAATAACAAATTTTCTCAGTAGAATGTTAACTAGTTTTAAATAAGACAATTCATAAATTTTATTGTAATTTTCATTTTTTAATTTAATTTTTAATTTCTTAAAAATGCTCAAAATATGTTTTAAACGTCCAGGTGTAGATATAATAATATTAGGTAATGAAGAAAAAATATTTATTATGTTTTCAAATACATTTGTTCCACCATATAATATTATTGATTTTATTTTATAACTATTTTTGAAACAATTTTTTTCAAAGTATTTATAGTTTCCATTTTTATATGAACTATTATTTATTAAGTTGTTAACTGGATTATTATCATATAAGTAATCACAATCATTTATACATTTTATATTGTCAGAAATTTTTTTAATATTATCATATAGTTGTATGCATAATTCACGAGTTGGTACAATTATTATACCAAAAAAAAATAATGAAACAAGGAATAAATTATTTAAAATATTACTTTCTTTATCATCTTCTACATTATTTTTTTCTTTTATATTATTAATGTTAAAAATTTTACATTTTTCTTCATTTTTATTACTTTTGAAGAATTTCTGCATTTTGATAAATATTTGACTAACTAAAATTATACATATTGATAAACTTTTTCCTGTTCCATTTTTTGATTGTATAATTAAATTTTTTTTATTAATAGCTTTTTTTATTGATAATCTTTGAATTGGTGATGGGTATAAAATATTCATATGTTTTAAACAATATATTACTTCTTCAGGTAAATTTAAATCATAAAATGAACTATTTTCCTTTTTTTCATTATTATCATTTTCAGTAAAAATATCATTTAAACAATTAATAGAAAACGAATAATTATTCATTTTAATATATTTAGTATAAATAATAGGTGATTTTTTAATATATCACATTTTTTTTTTTTTTCTCAAATATTTAAATACTTGAAACAAACAAGAATTATTTAATTTTTAAGTTAAATATACTAATATATATATTTTTGTAGATTTACATTTTTCTAAATTATAAAACATTTTTAAAAAACAATTTTAATAAATTACACAAAAAAAAAAAAATTTAATTTCAAAAAAAATTTTAATTTTTTAAAGATAAATTCAATTTAATATATATATTGAAGAACAAAAAATAAATCATTTTTTTGAATTTATAAAAAATA